ACATCTTATACACTTATTATAATCTCCTTGCATGATGCGTAAACATTTTTATTTCATGAAATTGTTTCCGTAGAATAATCTGATTGTATATATCCCTTTATAAAGCTTTACCTTTGCCGTGATTACATATTTGCTTTTTGTGTCGCGTTTGGTATAGACTAGATAATAGAAAACGGGTATAAAGCGATAGGATTTGAAACAGCGTAATAAGATCTGCATATTATTCATTTATAAATCTGTGACTTAAACATCAATTTTAAAGATAAGAAATCGGAAACTTTTAAAACTTTCCTTATGGACACATTCAATTTACATATTATGATAAACAATCCAGCAGAATCTACAAGACTACAACTAGAGATGACACCACTATCGATGCAGTATTTTCAAGATATTTGGAAAAAATTACATCACAAACATACATCATATTTCAGTTATCACAGGCCTGTGTATTAATCTTACATCGATGTTGCACATCATTTACTAATTCATCAAAAGTCGGAATAGTTGATTGCGACGTACTAGATTTAAACAGTTGTAACGTTGTCGAGTCGAGAACGCTAGAGCCCATATGAAATAACATAAAACTTGAAAGGTCATTGACCCCGACCGATTTAACTATTGACACATTTTCCTTAAATGTATTGACGAACTTAACTAAAGCTGGTTGCGATTCATGAGCGATTGGTTTAAATGCGAATAGTTTGTCCATGTGAGCGGAAGCTAACAAACTTTTATTGTTGTAACGCTCGGACAAGCTCAGACCCACGTGATCGGGTAGTTAGCCGTGGACAACGGTATAGATTTGATAATAGCCAACGCTGAACCAGATAAACACGACAGTAGATGATGAAAACTCTGCACGTCATCTATGTGTTGGTTATCATGTACGAGTGATATATATATATCGCAAAACGATCGCCACGATAATAAATTACCGTCGAACATGGGTATAATTTAATTTTAGGTAACGAGACGAATTGTTGTTGTGGCGTGGAATTCTTGAACGACGAAGACGACGATTTAATTTCGGAAGTACTAGCGGGAACGGCACTCGCGGAAACGACACTTGTTTTTATTTCGAGACTCATGGAATCCATAGACGTAACCACCGGATGATCATCCTGTTCGAATTCGGTAAAACGGTCCACACCGATAGTAACGCGTCAATAATAAAATCTTGTTGATTTTGGAATTGTTTGACGAGATTATTGAACTCCTCGGCCTGAGCAATAAGTGGTACCTTATCGATATCAGAGAGTGCATCTAATGCTGTAGCGTGCATACGTTTGATTGACTCCAATACGACATCAAGTTTGCCTCGCGCTCGGGTCAAAACTATTTCCGGATCCTCTTGCTTTCTTGGTGGCATGACGACAGAGTTACGAAGTTAGGTAAAATTACAAAAAATTGAAGTATGATTGTGACGAAGTAGTCAAACGACAACCAAACGAAAAAAAACCAACACGTAAGCAGTACAAAGTCCAAGTCGCGACGCGAAGGTGACAAAGTCGGCGTGACCAACATTGAAGTATCGAATGTAAGTAATGTAACACCAAATTTAAACTGATTGATTTTGTACACAACAATGCCCATTTTATTCAATTACTATGATGCCAATATTATTATTCTTAACGATAACGCCATTATTATTCACTTACTTAAATGCCAAATCTATTGTTTTTATTACCACACAATTTATTATTTTTTATGCACTTGCCACTTGCCCAAAGCTTTATTATTCTGACTATAATGCCAAATTCGTATTCTTGTTGAATACCTAAATTATTATTATTATGTGATCATGTCAAATTCATTATTATTACTGTCGTGTAAATTACACACAACAACTTATTACCCAAAACCTAACCTTATTCTTATTTTATTATTAATGCAACCTTTTCCGCTTTATTGACTTGGCCTTAAGGACTACACACGGTGGGGCTCGTAGGTCACGAGACAGGTTTTACCCCCCCTCGCTCGTGGGTAGTTTCTGTGTGGATAAAAACTCCAGATTCTAACAGTGTCTACGTTGATCAGTTCGTGAGACAGTCAGGACTAGTGATGTAAATTTTCATGAACATTTTCAAAAAGTTGAAAATTTTGAAAATTTCATTATTTTCATATTAATTTCTTATTAAAAAAATCTTTTTATATTATACATAGTTATAGTATATTTAACCTTCATAATATATATTTTAAAATATGTACTTTTATTAAAATTTACCCATTTTAATATTATATTGGTATTGATCTATTGAACATAATAATATAGTAAAATGTAATACAAATCGTTAAATATATTATACTAAAGTATATACCTATATCAATTATATTATATTATATATATCAATGCATAATATTTATTTCGTTAATATATGTGCATTTTTATATGTTTTTAAAAATGTTATATTTTTACTTCAGTATTAATGTTGAGTGTATAATCATTTTGTTACAATTATTGATTTTTCGATTTCTTTTATAATTTATTGTTTAAGTAATTTCCAAAATTTTACACAAAGTACATGTAATTACTAATAACATTGTATCAATTTTTAATACAAGACTACATGTCATATTTAATTCATATATAAATTAATAAATCAAGCATTTCTATATAATCCTACTATTATTAATGATTATGATTTTATCTTATTTCGATCAATTTCCGTTTTAGCTGTGGGCTGGGTGGGCAGTTGTCCATTAAAACATTTCTGGTGCCCTTACTTAAAATTGTAATTTTTACAAACATAAGATGTTTTTATCTTTTGCTAAAGTATTGTAAATTATCATTATATTGGTTACAAACTGATAGTTACTAGCAACTTTGCCCAGCGCAAGTCAATGATATTTTTTAACTCAGTTAATCTAAGTTAAGTATTTTTTATTTCAATTACATTAAAAGTTAAGCTAAAAGACATTTTTAATACATCAATTAAGTTTAAATTAAGTTAACAAATAATTTTAACTTAACTTAACTTCAATTAATAAGTAATGTTAATAATAAAAAAAAAAATGTATTCATGGGGTATTATTTAATAAAATTAGTGATAATCACTTTTAATTTTTCAAGTAATCATTATTCATAGGTATATATTACCATTCAAACAATTTATGATAATCATTATAATTGTACAAATAAAAAATGATTTGTAACTATAATGAGTAGGTAATGAATAGGTAGGTATTATGATTTATGAATATAATTCGTGGCATCGGTGTCTTCAAACAGGCGACTAATGTTACCCCTGTATTAAAACAATACATTAGTTTTTATTTTTAAACATAAATACAAAGTTTTTTTTATAAATATATCTTATTTTTTTTCCAGATAATATTTTCAATATTCTGCGAACTTATAATAATTATTATAAACCGAAAATCCGTAATAAACAAAATATCTTCCTGGATAATAAGAATATTCAAAATTAACTTAATTAGAAAAATAAAGAAAAATATGAGTTGATTTTAAGTTAATGTACCCAGAGGTAAATGAGTTAAGTTTTAAAAACACAGAACTAGTTAGTTAAGTTAATGCCTAGCCTAGTGACTTAGTAATTATCAATTTCGTGGTATTGTCGCTTCTAATCTAGCGTCTATTTTTTTGCAATTCAGCAATCTATACGATGAACTATATGAACAGAAGATTTTCCTTGTAATATAGTATAATATTGCAAAGTTAAACTTATACAAGTATTGTACCTAACGAATTCCCATTAATCAATTTTTGATATCTTATTGTAATTTCAAAATGTATAACCGTATACACTTGGCATTTATATCAAATATTCACATTATTATTTTCCTCTGCAGGTGGTAAAAATTTACAAACCATTTTGACTCGTTTTGAACTATTTATATCCAGAAAATATTTTTTAAATTTAAATTTTGTAAATTAGTTTTCAGCTAGAAATTCTTAAAAGTTTTTTTTTTAAAGAACTAACATTAGACATTTTAATTAAATATTCCCCACAAATTGTTCTACCTCTAATACAACAAAAGTTTTCCGGAAAGTATGAGTACCTAATTTATTATACTTATAGCCATAAAATATTTTTATTTCTATAATTTTTTAGGATGACACAACATCTCCACTCAAAATAATTTTTCGTATGCAATGATTTAACATTTAATTAAAATATAACATATTCATTGCAATGGCATGATCAACAATTACTAAACAGCAGAGAGGTACCAACTTGTCCACCTTTTATTATATTTAAAATCTTTATAATAAATATTACAATCATTATTATTTTAATGGGGGTGGAGGACTTGAAAATTAATTACCTAGAATTTCATTTTATTATTTCATATCTAATAATTTTAAATTATTAATCTATAATGATTAATGGAACTATAGATTATATCATTGATTATACCATAGAACAATATAGAAGTGAAACTCGATCAGCTGATTGGGGTATTGTTTACCTATATGATCTGCAGTCTAAACCTCTGAAAAACATGGAAACGTTTACCGCACCAATATGATGATGGACCCAAAGTCATCCGTATTATGTAAACGTTTACTCCCACCTAGGCGGGATACTCTACACGGGGTCGTCTTGTTTACCATTCTCTATTTCAAGTATGCCACTCCCCATTGGAGGTCCGTGTTCAAGGCCTCAATTGCCCGATCTGGGCCATCCAAGGAGTGTCGTATCCCAATCCGTTAGAGCACGCCACTAGTTACAAACTTGTATAGTTACGTGCTGAGGCCGGGTGGTATATTTTGTGATTCTTGTATAGATGTAACCTTCCCAAGATCCGGCTGAGTATCTATGTTCAAATTCAAGTGAATCGGAAGGGTAGTTATCAAGATTGGAAGTGTGGAAAAAAAGCGAGAGTCATTTTTATAGATAGTTAGATAGATAGATAGATAGATACATAGACAAATTTATATATAGATAGATATATGTATGTTTATTATTAATATAAAATAATTTTTTCACATTAGTAGACAAAATAAAAAAAATGTACCCTCAGTAGATTTATATTTAATTAAATAAGTTAGCTATTAATTTTCCAAAAGCTGAGGATAATTCTTTCGCAAATGTTTTCGCCGAATCTTCTGCAATGTCCATCAAAATATTTGTAACAGCACCGCTTTTCAAGACGGGTAAAGCAGTTTCATTTGAATTGTTGATAAATTCAAAAATATCGGTTAAATTAATTTCAGAATAATCGATATTTTCAAGAAAATCTGTAGCATTATAATAATATGGACTTGTAGTTCCAGAAAAATTGCCATTTGAAATATATGTCTTGTTGTTTAATATTTCATATGCCATTTTATCAGCATCATAACCAGCTGCGCCTGATGGTTGATTCTCGTACTTCAATGTTGCTGCCTGATTAATAATAATCATCATTGAAAATACAACCAATACTTGCACCGGAGACATTTTATCTATTCAACAATATGAATACATATTATCAGCAAATAACAAAATAATAGTGTTACTCTATTAAGTATTAACCATGAAATAGACATATATAGTTTATCTTATGTTGAAACCTATACTAATTTTATCGATATAAATATTAAGGTAATTGTATTTGTTCGTCATTAAAAAATTAAAAGATTTGTATGAAGAGTGAAGACAATAAATTGATCAAGCTACTAGCAAATTCTCATGATCTATAAAGAATAATAACCTATATTCTTATTTCATAATCAAAACTTTAAAGCAAAACATTTTTTATGTAGACTTATATAATTTGTTTTTTTTATAACTGTTCTAAATATATAATAATATGCCAATGAAATGTATAACTATATTTTCGTTGGAACACCCCGAGAAATGTAATTTCTATTAGAAGCTGTACCATTATATATATTTTACAACATCTTAGATGCTTATTATTAAGAAATAAAACAATAATATCATTATAGATTAAATTAATAACTGAATTATACACGTTTATGGTTATAGTCAAGTATGTTAATCTTTAACAAATAATATTATATGATTAATTGCACAACACATAAATAACAATAAAAAGGTGGGCAAGTGGGTGTCGCTCTGCTGTACAGTAGATTACAAGTGGGTCACTGTATAATGGATGGTATAACATTTGAATTCAATGATATTATATCATTGTATAAGAAAAACGATTCTGAGCGGAGATGGTATGTCCTTCTAGGTATAAGACATATTATATACTTATCTATGGTATTAAAAAAAATGACCTATAATGAATTCCAAATTAATCATATCACAATATCCATTAGGTACTTATAACGCGTTATACACCAACAGCAAACCCTGATACTATAATACATATATAGTAGTATACTTTAGAAATTTCGAGTACCCACGAATAATATTATACAATCACAACAAAATGACTAAAATAGTTATTCAAGGTTTTTATTATGTAATTTCGTCTGAATTTGAATTTAAAATATCTGTAAAAAATAACTGTGTTCATATATTTTTTAGATTTTTTGGTTACAGTATGAACTATTTATGAGAACCTTTGTTTTAAATTTGCAATCCTTAGCTATAAAAACTGAACATTTTATAATTTATTAATTGCAATGATTGATAATTTTCGATTAATTTTGATAAATTTTATCAAAATTCGATCTTTGAATGCTTATAAAAAAAAATTGTAACTATGTATTTTAAATATTTTTCAACTGATATTGTAACAATATAATATCAGGTGCCTTGTATTACATTTTTACACTTTTTGGCCCAACAGCCCCAACAGATGAAAATTTATTGATATTCATAGAAAAAAAAACTAAAAAAATTGAAAAATTAAAATGTCCGTTAATAGCTCAAAAAGAGTCAAAATATTTTCAAAATTGTATGGTGTATAAGAAATGCTAACATAAATATTTAGTGAAATTTTCATGGATCTACAGTTATTCGTTTTTGAATGACAACAAAATAAGGAAATCGCTACATGAGAAATCGAGTGAATATCCAACGTTGTAAATATTTGAATTTAAAACGCTCATAAAAATTTAATTTGACTTTCTCATAGACATTTTTTTGTTTGTTAAAGGTAGATAATCTTATGAGGAATCTTGTATTATATTTTCAAATCTCAGATTTAAAAAGAAAAATTTTTACGAATTTTTAACTCAAAATAATTTGCTAATTTTCGTGATTTTTCCATATTTTGTCAATTTGTAAACTTTAAATGCTTAGAAAAAAAAAACTGTGACTAAGCATTTTTAATATTTTACATCTGCCTTTGGAACAGTATACTAGGAGCCTTCTATTAAATTTTCAAGCTTTTTCAGCCAACAAATAAAATTTTTTTGATATCTTTAGAAAAAAAATAAAAAAAAATGGAAAATGAAAATGTCCCTAAACAGTTCAAAATAAATCAAAATATTTTGAAAATGTTATAGTGTATAGAAAATGCAAATATAAACAACCAGTAAAAATTTCATGTATATACGTTCATTTGTTTTAAAGTTACTTGTGAAAACTATTGGGAATTTTAAAAATTTTGACCTCCTAAAAGTACCATCTAGATTCACTTTCCCATCGAACAAGTTACTGAAGTTGAAAATCGAAGAATTATTTCGACTACTAATCGTGTACACAGACACAAAAATTAAAATTAAAATTAAAAAATTTAAAAATTTAAAAAAAACACACATCATTGTAAAATCAATACATTCATCGTTTCACTCAGAATCTAAAATATCAACTTTTTGATAAAGTTACTTTTAAAATATTACTGATTATTATATCGAAAATATATTTATTAATTTTCATTATATTAATTCATTTGATGATGTAAATTCTACATACCTGGTAGTTATAGTTAAAAATTGCACATTTTTTAATTTTTACCATTTTTTAAAGTATACAACTAACGAAAATATAAAATTTTCTACCACCTTTAAGCACATGTTTGTAGTAGTGGTAGAGTTTTATGATAATATATTATTAACAATTTCATTTTAAAACATAAAAAAGTTGGACAAGTGGGTACCGATATATTGTTCAATAGTTGTCTAACTCTAGCATGTCATTGTTATCGATCATCGATGTGTTATATTTGAATTCAATGAGAAATCATAGTATACGAAAACCATTCTGAGCGGAGACGCTATTTAAGCTTAGCATAGTTGTACTTGTAATAAAATTTAATATTTTTTAAAAAAATGTATAAAATAAAAAATAACTCATGGCTATACATAGTGTAACTTGTTCTTTTTTATAGAGATAGTAAAACATGTTGGAAACCAATACAAATTTCTAAAGTAAGCTATGAAAATAAAGTATCTTATGAATTTCAAACTGAAAAATAATTTACAAAATTTGAAAAATTTGAAAAATGTTCGCATGGCTATATAATTAGGTTATAAAGAGTCGACATTTTTTGAACATTTTACCATGTATGAAAAATTTTGATATAAATATTTGCTGATCATTCCAAGAATACATGGCTTTTTGTTTTGGAAATGGAAATTCAATTATTTACCACGGAATATTAAAAATATTTTAGCAATTCAAAAAGCTCAAAAGTTAATGATCCGTTTAAGTATACTTTTTTTTTGTTATAAGTAGGAAAATTTATTTGAAATCTTCTATTAACATTTTTAATCTTAAATATCAAAGTAAAAACTTAAATGAATTTCCAATTGAAAAAAAATGTATACAATTTTAAAAATTTCACGAAGCTATAAATAGCTCAAAATTAGTCAAAATTGTTTGAATGTGTGGAGAATGGTGATATTAATATTGAGTGAACATTTTTAGTAGGTATCTAGGATTTTTTCGTTTTGGAATAATAACAATATATCAAAAATTGAAGAGTAAAGTTCGTTCATTTATTGATAAATATCCAATGTTTAACAAATTTTAAATTCAAACGCTCATAAAAAATTAAAATTTGTTTAAAGTAAACTGTTTTCTAGCCCAAGGTAGAAAATTTGTGGGGTGCCTGCTATCAAAGTTTCTAATGTTACTATGAAAGATAAAATTGTATTAATTTCTAACTAAAAAAAATACTTTGAAAATTTTCGAAATTTTGATGAATTTTTTCAAAAATTGAACTTTAAATGCATACAAAAAATAATCGTATTTATGAATTTTAGATTCTCAGGTGAACGATGAATGTATTGATTTTACAATGACGTGTGTTTTTTTTGTTTTTGTTTTTATTTTTATTATTTTTTTTTTTGTATGTCTGTCACCACGGTTTGGGGCAGTAGTTGATAGCTGGGTTATATATTTTTTTGCATTCATTAGTTCAAAATTTAAAATTCACAATAGTTTTCTAAAGCATCGGGAAAAAAAACATAAAATTAAGGAAAAACAGGAATTTTTACCCAAAATCGATTTTCTACAAAATCGAATTTAGTTTTTGTTGTAACTTTAAACAAATGAACGTATATACATGACATTTTCCCCTGTCGTTTATATTTGAATTTTCAATACACCATATTTTGATTTGTTTTGAACTGTTTAGGAACATTTTCTGTTTCCTGTTTTATTAATCTTTTTTTCTATGAATGTCATTAAAACTTTATTTGTGGGGTAAGAAAGCTTGAAAATTTAATACAAGGCTCCTACTATATTGTTACAATGACATTTGAAAAATATTAAAAATCTTTAGTCATAGTTTTTATTTATAAACATTTAAAGTTCAAATCTTGACAAAATACCGAACAATCACGAAAATCAGCAAATTATTTTGAGTTGAGAATTCATAAAAAATTTTCTATTTCAATCCAACGTTTGAAAATATAATACAGGATTTATCATAAGTTTATCAACCGTCCTTTATTAAAAAAAAAATGTCTACAAGCAAATAAAATTGAATTTTAAAAAGGGTTTTACAATTTTGGATATTCACACGATTATTTAACTGTTTTTCAACAACGAATAACTGTAGATACATGACAATTTTACTAAATGTTTATATTTTCATTTACTATATACCATACATTATTTTGAAAATATTTTAACTCTTTTCGAGCGGTTTTCGGACATCGTCAGTTTTCAATTTTTATAGTTTTTTTTTCTATAAATATCAATAAAATTTTATTTGTTGTGTAGAACATTTTGAAAATTTAATGCAAGGCTGCTGATATATTGTTACAATAGCAGTTGAAAAATATTAAAAATACATAGGTACAATTTTTTTTTTATAAGCATTTAAAGTTCGAATTTTGACAAAATGTAATAATTATTTTGTAGTTAAAAATTTATAAAATGTTCAACTTTTATAGCTAAGGATTGAAAATGTAGAACAAGGGTCTACGTCAATAGGTAAATGTATAAATTACTTAGTTCACAATAATATCATCAAATATACTTAGTAATATGACTAATATCATATAGGCTGACTGGCCGTTTTCGCTCAGAATCGTTTTTATTATACAATGATATTAGGTACATCTTTGAATTAAAATTTAACACCATCC